AGGAATTGACCTAACTCCTATCGCTCTAGCACGAGGCGAGCCTCTAAAGCAACTACCTGTCAATCTGCCACTCAACCCAAGTAGTAGCCTCACTCAGTCTCATGCAGGCCAACCCACAAAGGTAAGTACTCTCGCCTCCCCAAGTCAAACTTTGCAAACAATAGTTCGTAATCTTTTGATGCTTTATTCCCTTATACCCAACTTACATAGGGCATAAAGTCAGGCCGTCCAATCTTATGGAACTTGCCTGACTCAGTCAATGAATATATACGAATAAGTTGCACAACTACTTCTCTCTTCCTTTTGGGCATATGACTAGGCCGTTCATCTTAGAACAAGGCTTAGTCGCCCAAAACTGTTTAATATCCAAATTATATATACCTCTCTGAGCTTGGTATTCAACAACTGGGCATAAGACTGAGCCGTTCATCTTAGAACAAGGCTCAGCGTGCCCAGGGTTACCTTTAATTATACTCTTAGTTATACTCTCTTCATTTCATGATAAGCTATAGCCAGACCGTCCAATCTTATGGAACCCATGCCTGGCTAACCTGTTCATAGATAAGATAGTATAAAATATATCCAAAATTTAACCTTTTAGGTTCCAGCATGTGCGTGGCATTGGGCCAGACCGTCCAATCTTATGGAACATATCTGGTCCTTTGCCAGGTTCGTTTCTCTCTGATCCACTATGTATGGCATGAGTCCAAGGCCGTCCAATCTTATGGACATGCCCTGCCCTCTGCACGAATTATCCCCTCATAATAAAAACAGGAAGGGGCTGAGTCGTCCAATCTTATGGACTTGCTAAGGCCTCCTCGATCAAAAACAAAAGAAACAGAACAAGCCTCAATTAAACATGGCAACCAGACCCTCCAATCTTATGGTACATGTTTGGCCCCTGAAAAGTCAGCCACAGTCAATTCCTCACAATTCAGAGCAATCAGACCGTCCAATTTTATGGAACTGGTCTGACTCTCCATGCAATCCAAAAATAAACACAGCGGTCAGACCGTCCAATCTTATGGAACTGATCTGACCCCATAGGACCTGGTCAGCCTCAGGCAAAACCACCTTTCATCCACCCTTCCCCCAGATGCAACCCCTTGTGTTCACATTCTGCCTTCAGGCAATCAACAACTGAAACTGCGATTGCACATACATTTCTTTATTTAGTCAGACTTGTGTCCTGCCAGTCAATCCAAAGTCAAGATAGGGGTGCATACAGTATACTCAGCCAAACATAGAGGGATGTACGAATAGGGGTTATACCAGGGTATATAGAGGAGATGCAATGGTTACCTTTCAGTTCTCTGCCTCCAGAACTCCTCCTGAGTTCCGGCAGAGCTCCCGCAATCGGTGGGGCGAACCTCCCACAGAGGCCTTGGCGCGGATTACGGGTTGCAATCCCGCCTGCCGCCTTCCTCTCAGAACCTATGGACTAGACTTAGAGTAAGAAGGGCAGAAAGAGAAGCGTTCCGTCTCTCAGATACAAGAGGGGTGCACTCAGACTCGCAGGAGAGGGCCTCGATGTCTTCACTCGCCTGAGGGCCCCGCAATGGTGGCCAAGTGTAGCAGCTTGGTCAACTTGAAGTCAAACTGCCGAACCCAACTCTCCTGACAACCTCCCAATTCGCAGCGATAACCCCTCCCTCTCCAACCACCCTTTCCGCCTGCGGCGGTGACCTCCCTTCACCACGCAACCATTCTCTCTCTCCTTGGCGAAACTGCAGCCACGCAGCCTTGGTTAACAGTACACGACACCGCGCACACCTCGTATGCCCTTCGAATACCACAGCACTACCCAGGGTGCAGTGAGGCGCAGCAAGCTGCAACTTAGCACAACAAACCAGCAACTACACCGCAGTCAGCAGCAAGCGACGAGGGTACCTCAGTAGTTAGCAGTAGCCCGCACACAATCAGCAGGCGCAGTCTGCGCCCAACTGGTCAGCAGCAGTGCCCAGCCCGCACATACCGAAACCACAACCCTCAGCCCCGACACCAACTACAGGGTCCGTCCCACAGGCCGAGCTCAACAGTTACGCGAACGCTGAGCAAGCAGGCTCTTTGCTACGTGAGCTTAACCGGTCAACAGGTAAGTCCTCCAATCCCCTGACGCACMCCCCCCCCCCCCCCCCCCCCGTGGGATGAGCAGAATCAACCGAGTCTTCCATACGAAGCCGACCAGGTGCGTACCTCCCCTTCTCCTAATGCAGCCCGACGACTCGCGGCCCACCCCACTACCGCATCACACCGGCCAGCGCTTCTCTGCTGCCCCGCTGCCTGAGTGTGGTCCATCCCTCATACCCAGTTCAACCATGTACGCAAATGCTAATGGGGGGGTTACTCCCATCAGTAAGATGAGCAACACGCCAGCCAACAGGCAAGTCTTCCAACCCTGCGGCTGTTCTCCGGACTGCCGCCAATGATCAGGTACGCGCTCCTACCTCCTCCTACTCCCTCTCTCTGTGTGTTATGCAGCCGGCCCCACGCTACTCCCGCCGATAGAACGAGCGAACATTAGAATGAATCTGTTCTGTAAACGTGGCCAAATACTTCCCACTTTCACACAACAACAAATTGTTCCCCCGACCGCAGCTCCATTCCTTCATAGCACAAAAACTATAACCCCCCTCCTAAATCTAAATCCCCTATTTGATTCGCAACCCACGACAATCCCAGTTCTTAGTCTTAGTTCACTGGGTGCTGACAAGAATGGAGTGTGTTATACGTCCTTCAGTCCGGCCATATCCATCTCTCCACTACCACAGCGCACCCCTCTTCCACCTAACTCCAAACCTACGCAACTAACCCCAGAACTAATAACATATCGAACTCGCCCGGGGTAGAAACCCCAAAATCGCATTTTATTTTAACACAATCGGTCAAGAAATGACCGAAACATCACACTTTCACTTTTCATTCACCCTCGTTCCGCCATAGCTCCGGCGCATCACTTTTTCTACTAACTCCCTAATCACTAACTCCCACCTAAAACTAACATCGCCATCATCTTCGCCCTATGCAAGACCCCCCAAAACGACCCTTCCCTCGACTAAACCTGCCCACCAACGAGCGCGTAAGAGTTTTTCCCCTCCTCCTTCGTCTTCCTTCCCGCCATACCCTGACGCACTAACTTTCTGCTAACTCCTCTTTCTACTAATCCATCCCTAAATCTGACATTACAATTGTGATTGCCCGGGTCTAAAACCCCGATCTAAGTCCTTACCTTGCTCGTTTCCATAGAGGATCGAGTGAGAACTCACTTTCTCCTTTTCGTCATCGCCAGCCCCCCCCATCTTCTTCCCACTTTCCCGAATGCACCCTGGCGCGGATTCCGCCCAGGTTCATTCGCTGCTGCACACGGCGGCCCGTCTCGCTCTCCGCCTTGTCCCGTCAACCTCCTCCGCTGCCCCGTCCCACAGTATCAGCGCCCCTATGCTCTGCTACCTCGGCACTCCCGCCTTCGCTCTCACAACGCCCGCCTCCTAATGCTCCGCGCCTTCTTCCCGCACTGCGCTCCTCCGTCCTTGGCCTTAGCGCCTGCTTTCGCTGCGCCTACTGCCCTACCTCGTCTTCTCCCCCATCTCCGAACGTACCTCGCCACGGAACCCGTCCGGGTCCCCCACCCTTCGCCTGCGCTTGCCTGCCCAAAGGGTGTTGTCGTCATCTCGATATCCCGGCACCGTGCGGTCCAACAACACTCAACTTTTTTGAAAGGAAAAAGTGCCCGACTGTCGGGCCGTCCCTGCTTTATACGCCCCATCCGTCCGCTGGCGCGATACCACTCCCCTTCACAACACTCAGGCTCCAAAGGCCCGACCGAGGAAATGCCCCGTGGCGGTACCCCCGACCGTTCGGCCCCTTCTACCCTCGGCCTACTAACGGGAGAGGGGGCGGGCGCCGCCCTTTGTGCTTCCTGCATGCCCCCGGTCTTGCCAGCGTCCGGGTTCGCCGTCCTACCTACGACTCTCCCAAGGACTCAAACAGCCAAACGTGGTACCGCGCCCCGAACCAGAACGGGACCGCGGATATTAAAAATAATAAAAAGTAAAACAATATGAAATAATAAAAAAAAATTCCTAACAAGGGGCGGGGACTGCTGGTACCCCACCGGCCTCGTGGACCAGGTCCATAGTCGCATCTACCCACAAAACCAAAAAGGGGATAGCCCCTTCAGGCCCTCAACCCCCTCAGCTCTCCTTGACACTCCGTCGCTGTTGCGCCGATGCCCCGCCGACCTCGATCCCCGTACCTTCATAGCGAAAGTCCCATGTTGTAACCCATAGGGCTATGCCCCAGCTTGGAACCAGTAGGCGCGGATTCCTATGTGAAGTGGTGTTGCGCCATGCTTAGGCCTGGGGACGACAGCCTAGGCCCTCCCTTCTCACCTGCAACTGGCGCACCAACACCCGGCACCCGCACCGGCCTACTCGGACCGCACCCTCACCACCGCCTGTGCCTAGTGACGTGCCAGTCCCACCGTCGGTCACGCGTGCCAACCAAAAATGAGCTTTCATCCCCTAGACAAAACCGTAGCTCGGTTCAGGTCGGTTGACTAGACCGGCCGCTCACTCAATCAGGAAAATCACACGCGCGCCTTAAAACTGCGCGCCCACATACCCTCTAACTTAGCCGTACCTCCCCCGACTTATGCCGACCAAACCCATTTTTCTGTCATTTGCAAAAACCAGGGCGGATACCCTTGTAAGGGTATTCACGCCGACAACGTGGTCGCAGGAAAGGGCGGGCGAGGAAGAGCGTGGCCATGGACGGGAGGCGGCCGAATCTGAGCACGTTGTCTGCCCCTTATCCCGGTGACCGGCCTCCGATCTGTACCGGTGTAGACAGAAGGGTGGCAGGTCCGTCACCGTACGAAGGACTGCCGCCTCTCATGCAACCTCTGCCCGATTCGGATGAGGGGGAGACGGAGGTAGACGTGTCCAGGACAGTTCCGCTGGGTAGTGCTTCAACCCAGGAATGGACGGGCAGCCAGTTGTATGATCGGCGCCCAACGAAGTACGGGCAGTCATTCACTTCCCTCCTCCACTAAGGTGCGGAGGAGGAGGAATGCCGCCCCGCGCTGCCTTCTGCCGTCATCTCTGCGTCATTCGCTCCGCCAACGCCTGGCAGCATGACCGCTTCCCCCGTGGAGGTTTCCATGCACAACAGCCTGGGGGGGCGATGGATCCCGAGATCCACCCGACGACGCACTCCATTGGCGCCGACCTCCCACAGCAAGTTCTCGTCAAAAGGGATGCCGATGTCGATCAGGATGTTGTGCAAGATGCAGACGGTCACGAACTGCTGGGGCAAATTCTCCATGTTCGTCTTGTGCGAGCCTAGGAACAAGCGCCACATTCCCTTAAGTCTCCCGAAGGCCCTCTGCACCGCCCCCCTTGCGGTCTTCTGCTTGTTGTCGAAATGGGTCTCCTGTGGGGACTGCGCCGTGCCGCCAAAGGGGACAACAATCCATTCGCTCGGCGGGTAACCATTGTCGGCCAGCAGATAACCATTCGTCTGCACTTGAAACGGTAGCAACACAAGAGGCCCTCTGAACAACTTTCCCACCGCCGCCCGCGACCATAGACTGGAGAGATGGATGATCCTGACGTCGTGGCAGCTCCCCGGATAGCCCACGAACACGTTGAGGATGCGCAAGTCCAAGTCGACCACCACTTGGGCCACCACGGAGAATCGTCTCTTGCGGTCGTAGTAGTCTTCCGCAGATGCGTTGGCCGGCTTGTCCACATAGATATGGGTGCAGTCGATGCACCCGTGGCAGTTCGGGAAACCCTTGTCTGCAAAAGCACGCAGAACGATCGCCTTCAGCACCCCGGTCGACCACGCCACCTTCTCCCTGTACACCGAGAGCAGCGCAGCAGTGACGTCCCGGACGGCCACCAAACCTGAAGCCCTGCCAATTCCAAAGCTGCAGCTGCTGCTCTCGTATGTCTCGCCCGACGCCCACCTATACAACGCGTAGGCGACGATGTGGTCTGGTTGCAACGGCTCTCTATAGAACGTCACACGTCGCTGGAGAATCAGCGACAGGTTCTCGACGATCTCGCGGAATACACGTGGAGACATCTGTAACTTGTCGCGAAAGTAGTCGTCAGTGGCGTCGTCTGCAGGCCGAAGATCCTCCCAAGTTCCCCCCGTCCTCCTTTTCATCCACCACCTCGGCGTCGCCCTTGGTAGTGCCCCACACCCCAGTGCACAACATACCTCCAACACGGCGTCACAGATGGCAGCGCTGTCCAACCCTTCAGACGTCGCCGGCGGCATCAGCTTCCTTCTTCGAGCACGTAGCCGTGCCCACCGCCGTTCACCTTCCACCTCCATGTCGCAAAGCATGATGACGGCGGCTACGGCAGACGACACAGCAGCCCTCTCCAGAGGGGACAACCTGGCCCCGCCGTCGTCCCCGTCACCCACGGAACGCACATTCACGACCTCAGACATCGCTGTCATCCTCTTGGACGGAACTCGACCAACACTCAACAGGTTGCCGGCAGCTAAGGACACTGCACACGGAGAAGTTGGCGGAGATGGGGGTCGGTTAGCAGTGCGTGAGCACGAAGGCGCAAGGCGGAACACGACGCTCAGAACAGTGGATCGAGCCACGGTGCGCCATGTCTTCTAATACGTGTGGAACCTTGTCTTGACGCCCGAATGTCTAGCAGCTCCTCCGCGTGACACCCACTGCAAAACCCCGGCGATTCCCCGATGGAGTCGTCCCACGCCCGCATGTCCCCGCGGAACCTCAGCAGAGGGCATGGTCGGCCCATTCGAAATTTGAATTTTGAAAGCAAATGCGCGCGCGCGCAATTTTTTTCCCTTGGACGGCGGCGGCAGTCCCTTTTCGAACTCGATGCCCAAACGCGCTGGACCAAGGCCGCTCACACGGACACCAGACGATGGACCACCGCCCAAACATTCGTCCCGCGTCCGCATATAAAATTATACGTCTCCCCGCGGCCACTCCTCGGAGCATCCTCGGGCATCGTCCCGAGGGAGAAGTGGAACGAAAGCGGGAAATTCCTCGGGCACCCCCGAGGATTTCCCCTCGGAGCCCGAGGACGCCCCGAGGAGTGTCTAACGAGCCCCTCAGTACAGTAGTCCCGGCGATCTGAACAGTCCAGCAGAAGTGGTCATGGGGACTGAGAGGCCCACACCGAAGCCGGGTAATGGCCCCGCCAGAAACAACTCTCGTACTGGGATGCGGGACCCTCTTTCCAGCAGGTGCAGCTCCCCATCAATAGACCGGAGCCTTCTACACCGGACCCTACCTTGGGGGGGTTGCTTGTATCACGTGGGAGTCACAAAAACGAGTTATAATTGCAGTATGGGCCAAGATACAGTTTGCAATTGCAGTTGGGGCAATGTATACAACCCAGCTTTCTGGCCAGGTAGGGTGCCCGAAGTGCAATTGCAAACTGTATCTTGCCCCATACTGCAATTATCACTCGTTTTTGTGACTCTACTGAAGTTACCCCTTAAAAAAAAAAAGAATCTGTAGACCATAGTAGGCGGGGTGGTACGAGCAGCCCTCCCTACTATGGTCTACCTGGGTCACTCCATCTATTGGTGGGGAGCTACACCTGCTGGAAAACGGGTCCAGTGCCCCATTATAGATCACAAAAACTGAGGTTGACCTGCCAGCATTGACTGCCCTTGTCACCAGGGGATAGACTGAGCAGGTAGTGGAGTGAACGACAGTTGCAAATAGGAGTTTAGTCCACTTGAGTTTGGATTGGGTGAACCTAGTCTAGTTGAACTGGAATCGACCGAAAGGTCACACAATTGCTGCCGGAACCAAACGTGCGGGCTACCTACCCTCTCCCACATTTGTAGAGAGAATAAGAGTATGCTCACACACTAGGCCCTCAAAATCACAAAATCACAAAATGATCTGTCCCACAGAGATGCACTGTTGTTTCTTCTTCCCACTTTGGCATCTGCTGCAGATCGGGTCTACATCCATGCCTCAGGTTTGCAGCCACCTTGCTGAAGGAATGGCCCAATGAGGGCGCCATTAGACACTCCTCGGGGACGTGAAATCCACAAAGACGCGTTGTTCCACCTGTCCTTGGGGACGAAATCGAAAAAGAAATGTGAAAACACCACAAGGAAAATTCCTTGTGGCATCCTTGTGGCCCCAGCCAAAATTTCCTTATCTCCAAGGGACCTCGTGAGGTTCCTTGGAGCTCAAGGAACTGTGATTCACGGAGTGGCGAAGACATGCATCGACGGAGAGTTTTGGGTCTTGGGTGGTCCAGATGTGGTCCAACGGCGTTAGCACGGACATCTCCGCCCTCCAACGTCTGCGTAGTCCCCCAATGTCCCCCAACGGCTACTGTTGGCGGTGGGCCTCCATCGGGCGGCAGCGTCGTTTTCGACCGACATCATGTGGTCTCGCGCGCTCGAGGAACGTATACCTAGTCCCCCAATGCCCCCAAACAGCTACTGTTGGCGGTGGGCCTCCATCGGGCGGTGTCATTGTTTTCGGCCGGCATCAACGGCCGGAATTTTTTTTTCCCCCGGCGACGCCTTCAGTCCATCCATAGAAGAGGTTTCTTTACAAGCGCCGTACTCCCATGCATGTCGTCACATGCTGCACGTCCGATAAGACTCTTGGCTTCTCCGCCGTCGTGTGCTAATTGCTGCCCTCTCCACCGTGCAGTTCATGGCCAACCTGTACCGCAGGCTCCCTCTGCTGCTCCTCATTGCGGTGCTGTTTCTGGTGGTCCCTCTGCTGCTCCTCGGCGCTGTGTTGCTTCTCGTTGAAGTAGTCATCCGTGGCAACGTCGCATTGTCGAAGGTCTTCCCATGTCCCCCCCGTCCTGCGTTTGATCCACCACCTCAGTGTCGCTCGTGGAATGACGCCGCAACCCAACGTGTAGCAGCGCTCAATGACAGCTGCGCCCTCTCCTGCTGACAACGAAGAATAATGGTTGACACGGCCGCCACCACGGCTGCTCCTTCATTTGTCCCAGCGCCCTCTCCTGCTGACAACGAAGAATAATGGTTGACACGGCCGCCACCACGGCTGCCCGCTCAAGCGGTGTCAACAGTGCACGCCCGCCCTCTCCGCCCGCCTCCATCGCCACCACCTCCACAGGGATGACGTCTCCCCGCTGCCGTCTCAATTCTCGCACCCCAGAGACGTAACCAGCTCACCCCCCGGGGAGAGGTCTGAGAAGCTGCTGCCTTTCCGTGGATGTCGTCCCCCTGGGTGGAACAGTGTGTGACGGCGCGGACGATGTGGAGGAGAAGCTCGACAGTGATGGACACACCTGGTGACCAGGAGGTGGGCGGAAGGGACACCGACGCTAAGGCCGATTCAGCCCTGCACCGTCCGCGCGCTGCAAGCAGAACGTCGTCGTCGTCACCACAGCTGTACTTCAAATTTTGCATTTCAACCGTTGAGGTCCCTCTTTTTATTTTATTTTTCGTGGCCTGCCTCATGCCCTTCTCCACCGGATGTCGCTGGACCACGCCATCTCCACACGGACACAGGACGCTGGACCACAGACACCCCCACCCGCGGCCACATATCTTCATATGAAAATGGTCGCGGGCAGGCCACAAAGAAACGTCCTTGGGGGACGTCCCCAAGGATGTGTGGAACGACGCTGCCAAATTCCCTTACGAGCCACAAGGAAAATTCCTTGTGGCTCAAGGAACTCGTAAGGAGTGGCTAACGACACCCTGAGACTGCAGTCATGATGCAAAACCACCAGCACGTCTGCCAGCGATTTTTCTCCGATGTGGCGTGCATGCAGCCGCAAGTTTTGTGGGTTGGCCTACTGGAGCAAAATGGCTGGCGGTGCGACTGTCCTGACCCCAAAAAAACGTACGTACGTTGTATACGAATACAACATACGGGGTATGTTGTATTCGAATACAACGTACGTGCGTTGTACAACAAGTTTTAGGGTACAACTTTGCAGGAGCTTGCAATACCAGACATAGTTTTTATTTCTTTTTCAGAGTTTTTCTCGAATTTGGTTGGGAACTTCTCCAAGACCCTCAGGCGAAAGGTGCTTGTATTGCAATTTCGTACAACATAGTTTGTTGGGGGGGCTTTTTTGGGATTAAAAATTCTTAAGAAATCAGACAACACTGGAAAATGCCCTTGAAGGATATTTTTATTCTTGTTTTCTTCTTTTTTCCTCTTTCTTTTTTTTTTTTTTTTTTTTTTTTTTTTGGAAAAACAGCCCGATTGAATGCTAGAGGTGCTGATAGGAGCAGACACCGCTAGCATGGTCGGGGAGGCTCCATCTATTGGTGGGGAGCAACACCTGCTGGAAAGGGTCCAGCGCCCCTGTACACAAAAGTTTGTCGTAAAGCATGCCACATGTCACAGCCTAAGGATCCTAATCAGCCGGTATGTGGACACGTAGGCACTCAGTTTTCGTCATGATGAGCAGCATCATTCACCCACTGCCCATCTCAATATGAGAAAATCCTTGTTCCTATTCCGCCACCCTCATCATATCTTTTACAAAACCTTACAGCACTATGAGGGGGGGGGTAGCCAGAATAGAGAATTAGAGAGTCTAATATACCGAATCCGACATTCCAGAAACTGCATTAAACCACGTGGACTACCCCAAGAGTTTAACACCACTGATCCTCCCGTGGAGCGACGTGGTGAATTCACCACGCCAAGAGTTTAACACCACTGATCCTCTCGTGGAGCGACGTGGTGAATTCACAACACAACCTCACCAAAATTCACCCTGTGGCAACACGTTGCATCTGTCGGAATCGCAGGTTATGCATACCCAAATTGTTGTGAATTTCGACATGAACCTCAGGCAAAAGTTGTTTGTATTGCACCCCTTTCTGTTTTTTTCGGAATTTTCTGATTTTTTTGAAAAAATGAAATTAGCAAAATTTTGAATCCAACGTATGTACTATGTACGTTATACTTGACCGTACATTCTATTCGGAAAAAAAAACAACAGCGATTTCGGCATGGTAACCGCGGACCCGGACACCGGACACTTCCGGACTAGTGTCTGGACCGGTCTGGACTGTCCGGTGATCCGGACACCACTGGACACCCGGACAGTCCAGACCGGCATCAGTGGGTGCAAAATGGGACCAAAAAAAGAAAACCGGGGGGTTGGGTGGGTGGGTGGGGGTGTTGGCAGGCACTCCCCTGCTTTGCACTTTGTAGTTCAGGCAGCAGAACACCTGTCTTGCAGCTTATCAACAAGCACCTTCAACAAGCAGACATGCAGAGTTGCAAACAATGCAAGGCAGGCTCATAGTAACTTCATATAACTTAAACGTTCGAACTTTGCAGTTCAATTCAGAACGCCAGAGTCTTCAGACTGGCAGCACTGTCGGTGCTCTCTCTCTCTCTGATGTATGCAATCTCGCTCTTTTCTTTCTGCCTGGTCCCTGGGCCATGTAGAGGTGGTTTAAACCACCAGTACCTTTCCCTGCTTGAAAAACAAATGCCCATCCGTTAACACGGGGGTGGGCAGCTTTGGCACTACGGGCGTGAAATGGCTGGTGGCGGCAGCCAAAATTGAATCCGCGCCGGCGTTTTTTTTCCAAACTTTAGCCCATTTCATGAGGCCCTTTGTTGAATAGGTTAGTAATTGCTCATGACCCTTTCTCAGCTGAAGCCGGGTAATGGCCCCGGTATGCATATTACATTCCATAAATCCAAAAAAAAAAAAAGCCTATGGTTGGAGTT